ATAGAAAAAAAGGACACGATCACGAATTCAATGTCTTGCCGAACACTTCGTGTTACCGTTTCTCTGGTATTTACGTTTTAATATATATTTTCTTGCGCTGCGTGTGCGAGGATCAGTATCCTTTTGGATTTCGGTGCGCGTGTTTTGATCGCGCAAGCATTCGGTACGGTTAAGTTTAAATTCGTTAATTAAGCGCAAATTGAAAAATTTATTTACTTAATGAACATTTAAAAAATTATTAAACGTCTTCAGCGCGTGTGCAATAATAAAAAATTTATTTTTAATGTTATTTGTTAAAACTTTACGTTAACCAAAGTTTAAGTGTTGTGTTTAATTAATATTCTATATTTTTAAGTTTTTCAAAACTCTCCCTAAACGATCTATTCAAAACAAATCTTATTGATTGATTACTAAACTTCAACAACAATTTTGGATTATTACCACGTCTCGACAAACTGGATTATTGTCTAGTAATATTTTCAGCTGAAAGGATTATAATACTTCATAGAAATGGATTACAAAAACGATTTAAATTCTGATGATGATTTCGACTGTTCGAATAGCTACGGTGGCGATAACTTCAATAGCAATAATAATTCTAACTCTAGCTTTAATGCCAATGGACAGTCTAGGACATCTAATCCAAATGGTCTGTCCAAAGCTGAACTGAGAAAGGTAAGCTGGCATACGAGTGCAAAGAAACTCTTAAATGAATTACAAAACTGCATTAATCACTCTTATTGTGTAGGGACTCACAATTAATAGTTGACCTATGACCAATTAAGAGTTGACCAATTTGATTTGATTAGAATTTGTAAACATAACAAGATATTAAGTCCGGAGTCTAAACTGAAAGTTTAGTATAAAGTATAAAATAGACATGATCTTAGGATTTATACGATCATATGAATAATTAAGTATTCGTTAATACTTAGAGAAAAAATTACTGAAAGTTTTGCTACAAATCACTGAAATGAGAAATTTAATGTGATATTAATTAAATTAAATTTTATTAATTTTCGATTCTAAAATAATTTTACATCAAAACTATATTAACTGAAACTGCTTTAAGTAGTAAAACTTAACTCTAAGTAACCGTGATTGTTATTCTCTTTTCATAAAGTATTTCAAACTATATATAAGCTACAAAAATATAGTCTGGAGTATTTCTGAATAATAACAAATTATTTTGTCTGCATGTTATATAGCTAACAATAGTTTAGTTTAAATACAAATTATTTTAACATGTGTTTTTTCTATATTAATTCTTAGAAAGTAATCATGATATTATCCCCTAATATTGCTAATTAGCTTAAACAAGATGCAATTATAATAAAAAAGAATAAAAATATAACAAATTAAAAATTTTCAAATTAATCGAAAATATATTCAAAAACAATATCTCTCAAAACTATATTTTTAAAGCATATAGGTATGATATGAACATTAGTCCTTATATCATTTCCTTTTAATATTTTGATTTTTATCTTAATTGAATTACTATTTCATAATAATTTTGAAAGTAGGTAGAGTTTATTGTTTATAAACTGCTCACATCTTTTAGTAATTCTACTACTGCCTACTTAAAGGTCTACTATTACCTATTTAGAGGGTAGTGGTTTGTTTGATAAACTAATCTTTGATAAAATATTATTTAATTCAAAATAAATCTCACCACCTCAGTTGGAACCATTATAAATATAAATTATTTTATTTATTTATTTTATTAACAAAGTTATAACATAATTAAAAGAAATTATATCTAACTTAAATTTGCAGAAGCTATAGCTACTTAAATATAAATTAAAAATGTATAAAATTAGCAAAAAGTATTTGAAATTTTTAAGATACATTTTTTAGGATAGAGGATCTTAGAACAAAAATTACTTTAACTGCACATCAAATTAATGGAAAGAGAAATTTACAATTTTAATCCACTCACTTTACTACTTTTCGATTCTGAAATAGTTTTGCATCAAAAACTAGTATTTTGTAGATGCCATCACTAAATTCACTTCAAAACTGCGAAAGGAATTTTTGATATTAAAGTATTATATACCAAACGGTAACTAAAACCAACAGTTAACACCTTCAAAATATCAGAAATCCCCATTATTCGGAAACATTTTCTTTACTAGACTAACAGTAAGCGGCTATTCCTCGAAAATGCTTGCGCTAAATGACTAGAAGAATGCGAAATTACGAGTCCTTGAAGAGGGTAAATTGATTTTGCGCGACATCTGTTCCAAAAATTTGTTAAGTGTCGTTAAGACAAAATATTTGTAGACTTTATTCAGGTAGCGTTTAGCGTTTAGTACGAGTAGTGAAAACCTTGAATGTTTATTATGCAGTTTTTATTATTATTATTATTAACTTATTATTTTGCGTACTCGAAACTATATAATTTGGGTGTTCATCTTATTTTATTACAGACTAATAAACCAATTATGGAAAAACGTCGGCGAGCACGCATAAATCATTGCCTAAATGAGCTCAAATCACTGATTTTGGAAGCGATGAAAAAGGACGTAAGTTAAATAAACTAAATAGCAATTTTTTTTTTAAATAGACAGATACAAAAGATATATTAAATTTTAATCCATGTATTATTATTTAAATTATTAGTTATATTTTTATTTAAGTATTATGTGCGCATATGGTATTTTTAGAAGAGATACTAAATAAGATTAAAACGGAAAAGTTAACAGAATGGACTTCTTTTCATAATTTGTTAGATTTTAATTAAATTTGATTTAAAATACATTTTAATGAATTGATGTTTTAATTAGAGTCCATTTTATTCAACATGATATTCGAAATTTAACAAAACGACGATGCAATATTTTAGTTTAAATAAATATTAAAATTCTTAGTAAAATAATTACCATGCAAATTATAAATTAAAAATAAACTTTGTTTAATAATTAATGTATAGATTGGATATAAATCATTTTTTTTGAAACCAAACCAAATTCATATGGTTGTACACGAATTCGGAACACTTGGACTGACTGTTTGAGTTTTATGCTAGTGATGCGCTACTGTTGTCAATTTCGCAGATCTTTATTATAAATATAGCAAATCATTTTTTGTAAAAATACTCACTTTAGTACACAAAGTGGATCCACTAGAGCTTATTCATTCATTAGCTCTGGCATCTACTAGGATAACGCTTGCAACCACATATTCAAAGTTCGTACCGTTAATTGGAATAAATGAATCTGTTGATTATCCTATTATTATAAATTCGTTTATATTTGTATATAAATACTTTAAAAAATTTACCAATGGATTCGTTAGTTCAGTAAGCAGAAATACTCTTACTTGAAGTAAATTTCAAGTGCACTCACTTGAAATTTAAATTTATAAAGGACTAGTTGTTCTTAAGCTTGTAATATATTTAAAAAAATTATTTCAAATCATAGGTCACTTGATCCTATTGTTTCTTCTTTTTTAAGAAATCTCTCCATGTAGGACAACACCTATAATTTCTTTATTGGCTATTGACATACATAAGTCTAAAGCATACATTAATGTATTTTATTTAGTTTTTCAATGAGTTTTCAAATTCTCAATGACAATTTCAAGTGTTATCCCTCCATGCTGGGATTCTCTTTAAACTATCAAAATCACTTTCTTTTTAAGAATTTCTTTTACTACTGCACAGTCTTAGTGATAAGAGCGGCAAAAAATCAAAAGTTCCCATATTTAACTAAATTATAATAATATTTAATTGAGTACGAAATTTTATTAATAATCACTGGAAAAAACGCAAAGCATAAGAAGAAAGAAGGTTTACTTCTTTAAGTGTTAACAAGCCGAAAATTAAATACTGATAAATCATAGCGGAATTGATAAAAGCAAATAAACTCAAAAAAAAAAAAACCAAAAAAAAAAGATTCATAATGTACCAACAAGCAAAAAATTCAGTCTGAGAAAATTGCATATATTCAGATACAAACAGACGGAGAGAGAGAGGAACGAAACGATCTTCCGACGAACCAAACGTCAATTGACAAGAAACACAAACCCATAAAAACCTGTTCAAATGCAACATCACACATAACTACTGTGTGATGTGCGAATTTAGTGGTCTTTACTCTAAAGAAAAAAAGAAATGCCGATCTTATGGTCGGATCCTGCTGTGCACGAAGCGATCGCACTACATTCACACAAACAGCCTTTCGTATTGTGTGAGAAAAAACGTCAAAACCAATGATCATGAGCAGCACACAATTTTTATGCATTCAATTTCATTATTATCAGTTTAATTACGTTTATGATCATGACCAAATAATCAGTTATTCCCAACCAGCAACAAATAGTTCGCACAAGTTCAGGTTGATCGTAATGCTGATGATCTTCAAATCAAGATCGTCATTATGTGGTATGTAGGTATATGTAGGTATATCAACCATTATATAAAAAAAGAAAGAAGAAAAAAATAAGAAACTAAAACAAAAGCAAAAGTAAACACAAAAAATGAAACCTGCGTGGGAAAGAGTGTTTTTGCCTGTAAAGTACACAGACACGATCGTGTAGACAAGTTCCCTTTAAAAAGCATAAAAATGCTTAGCATGCCTGTATATGCAGCCGAGTTCTACCGACTCAGTGAACCACAATGTAATGCTTGTTGCAGATCGAATAAAATTGCTGTTGTGCTGTTGTTCTGTTGTTATTACGAAAATCACAGCAGCTACTCACTTTTCACGATAAATGATTTTGTCTCTGTCTTCGGAATGCTGTTAAAGATCGTTTGTGCGCATCACTTTAATTAAATATCGACTGATCAATATGAGACCTGAACTTCTTGGCAACGATCCATTTGTAGGAAGTAGAAGTAGAATTTAAAGGTATAAACTCAGCTCACAAACTCAATAACTCAGTTTTTCTTCTGTTGATCCTTTGTAATTCGGAAATTAGACAACTTAACTCTTTGTCTGTCGATTTATTTCTGTGGTTTATTATTTTAGCTTACTTTTTCTGAATTTACAAAAAAAAAACGCCAAAAAAATTCTCAGACTTTGTCCATATGAATACACTCTTTTTGTTTATGTGTCTGGCAAATTCGTGCTGTGATCATAAATTTGCTAATACTCACATACATGAGATCACAGCGAACAAAGGCCGGTTGATTAAGACCCTGATGTGCTTATTTGTGGAGCAAAAATCTGAGAGTGCTGCAGTCTCGGTTTAACACACTTCTTTTTGGCCCTTGGCATGGTCATTTTATTGCAGATTTCATGCTACTGCCACCGATTTTGCTACTCTCATTCTCATCCCAAGCTTTTTTCGATTATGTAATTGTTGTTGGCTTTTTATAGTCTTTAACAAATTGCAATCAATTAGAATATCCATGCTTTACCACAAAACACATTCTTTCCACCATATCAAAAGAAGCTCTTTAGAATTTCAAGCCAAAATATGTTAAATGCGAATTATGTGAGTAAACAGATCCGAAAGAAAAAAATATGAGCTTAAATATTTTAAAGCAAAGCGGCCTCTTTTATTTTCGTAGTGCTTTCTGGATGAAGGAAGCATGGGAAAATGTTTTTATTCCCATCAATTTTTCTTACATTGATGACAGAATAACTTCAAAAAAGTTTTATTTAGACTGAATATATGTATGTGATGGCCAAAATAAATGATGAAAGATATCAATTAAATAAAATCTAAAATAATAAAGTCTTAAAATATTTGATCAAAATAAAATCGTAAACTCTCATATGAGATTTATAGTAAATCTATATACTAAGATTCTCACCATCATTTATTAAAGCGGAAGAGTAAATAATTTAAAATGTTCTCGTTATAAAACACGCATAATTTAAGACATTTTTATGTTTCAATAAAATACAATTTTAAAAATCAATAGCCAAAGTGCCAGCTAACTTTACTCAAACGTAAGAAAAAAAATTGAGATAAAAAAATATAATATAGGTGTTCTAAGAAAATGGAATTAAAATTAAGGATGAAAAGAATAAGAATAATTAAGAATTAAGAATAAGTAAAGTAAAATTTTTGTATAAATATTTTTAGAATTGAAATGGGAAGCAGATATAAATGTATTATATACCATATTTTAAATGAACTCGGCAAACTGTTTAATTTTTAATAAAAATTCATTTTTCTTTAAGGTAGTCCAAGAAATTTACCATATTGCTTTAGAAAGGTTCAGAATTCAATATATCATTATTTGTTTTAATATTAAATTTATAGATTATTTTTTAAGTTAATCTCTGCTTAGAAATCATAAATATAGCTTAAACTCTCATTACGTCCTTTTATTTTATAGCCTGCACGACATACAAAACTTGAAAAGGCTGATATACTCGAGATGACTGTTAAACATTTACAATCAGTACAACGACAACAGCTTAATATGGCTATACAAACAGATCCAACAGTTATACATAAATTCAAAACTGGTTTTGTAGAATGTGCCGAAGAAGTAAACCGATATATTAGCCAACTAGATGGCGTGGATGTGGGCGTTCGTCAGCGGCTTTCGAATCATCTTAATAGTTGCGCCACTGGTCTGGAACAAATAGGTTCGATGACGAATTTTAATAACGGCTATCGTGGTCAATTGGGTGCTACAAATGCATCCGGTCTCTTTGGTGCAGCTTTATCAAATCCTTTGACATCCAATGTTAATCAACAAGGTGGAATATTTCCACCTCTACCACAAGATTTGAATAATAACAGTAATCATGCGACGCCTATACAAATGGGTGGGGTGCAGTTAATACCATCTCGTCTACCATCTGGTGAATTTGCCTTGATAATGCCAAATACCAATACAAATGCAACAAATCTTCTAAATAATAATACTCTTTCAAATTTACCGTTTAGTAACTGGCCACACGCTTCAAACACAGCAACAACAACTACCACATCACAGTTGCCAGTGAATGCGCCGCAAATGAATGATATTGCTAAAAATTATAATCGGTTAAGTGCTTTCAGTAAACCACAATCGCAATCACAAACGCAGCCGCAACAAGTTCCACAACAACTGATACAGCAGTCAAATCAACCGAAACATTCGTCTCTACCCACCCATCCAAATATGAACAAAAACATCAACCTATTTACTTCAAATCATTCGACAGCATTCCATCAACCACAAAATAACTTACATCATAACTCTACTGCAACTACAAGTCCACCACTGAGTCCTATATCATCGATCTCTAGTCATGGTGATGACTCTATCATGCACACCAGCTCAGAATACATTAACTCTCGTCCAGCTACACCACCGCAAGATCACAACACTAGTCAAATCCAGCAACATAACTTTTCAGGGGTTTTCAATACACCTCCTTCAAGTACAGATACCTCTTTGTCGCATTCACGCTTGTCTATAAACTTGCAGCAACAGCAAGTCACCTCGACCAGCGGCAGTGGCAGTGAACTTAATATCTCTCTTAAACGTAGCATCTCAGAAGTGGCAGACTCTAGCGATAGTTCGGATGAACCTTCGACTAAGAAATTTGCCAATGACACCAAAAAAGAATTAGTGGTGAGCGATGAAGATCGGGACAGCATGTGGCGTCCATGGTAGCTTTCGAAAGTGGTGAAGGTGAATTTAGGAAGCCGCTATCGTTAAATACTTGTTTTGTTGTAACATTTATAAGATTTTTGTTGATATTCGTTACATTTTTACAAATTTAACGAAACTGCTTTGATGAAAGGATAACGCGTTACTTTTATTTGTTGAATTTTTATTATTCTTTTATATTAATAACTATTCTTTTATTTAATAATTTTAAGAGTTTTGTTTAAAAATTATCATTCTTTGATGAACATGTACAGAAATGAATCGTTTAAATCTTTAATTTACTTTTAAAACATTTATCTATTATCAGTTACGTTATGTTTTTCAGACCAATATTTGCTATTTTTAAATGTTTAAGTATTTCTATTTTTTAATATATTATAGTTATCTGTGATTTGTGTATAATTTTGTATATTTTTTATAATTTAAGTTTTTCTAATTTTTATGTTTAAATCTTTTCAAAATGTGGAAAGCAATCAGTTTTGCTTAAAATTAATTATTTAAGTTTTATTACATTAAGTTTTGATTTTCATGATAAATAATTTGAAATTTATATATGGAATATGCATAATTAAAAAAGAAAGATGGCTGCAATTGTATGATAGTAAAATGTATGCGAAATTACACTACATAAAGTTCTTATTGAATGTTTATTAATTTTTAATAAATAAAAATTTCTGATATATCACGTTTTAGTTTTTTGTGTATATAAAAAACCCGCTTTCATTCACTTCCTTCAATATTATAGTATATATCAGGGCTGTCCAAACCACGCCCCACTGCCACGCGACATTTTTCTTATCCACCACAGTTACATAAATTATCCCTTGAGATATTTTGGTAAAATTCAATTATTTTATTGGGATACCATATTCAAAAAAAGTTCAAGTGAATAAATTAATAAAACTAAATTTAACATTAACACCGTATCTCCAAAAAAAACCATGGACGTATGTACTTGTGGCTACAGCCCTCCAATCTGCACAGTATTTTGTATTGGCCCCCAAACGTATCTGATCTGGATAGATGTGTGTAGTAAGAATAACATTTTATTTAAAAAGAAATTAAAAAGAAATTTTTTCTGGCATAAGAGTCAGAAATTCATTACCCATTTTTTAATTTTGGAATTGAAACAAATGCAATAAAGAAACTTCAATCTATACTTGAGGAAACGTAATTACAACAAAAAAATTAAAAAAACTATCACTAGTTTTCTTCACGAAAAACCTATCTAGCTAAAAGTAGTTTGAAGTTTTTTCAACAATTTGGACATCTATATAATTTAGCTATCTCTGACTATATTATATAATGCTGTACTTTACTATACCTTAACTATAGTAGATTTTACATTTGTGCCCGCAAAAAGTACTGATTTAAATAAAATTTAGTAGGGTATAACAAATGGTAAGGCCCTGTCTCATTATCTTACTCTTGCTCAGATCACCATTAGAATGCTGTGCACAGTCCCAACTAGAACCAAACATTCGTTTTTACTTCTCTATGTTAACCATTGCATTGTTATTGTATTTCTTATTTATTATTTAATCATCTGGTAGAAAATGTGTTTAGGTTTCAACATTGTTGTTTTAGTGGTGTCATAATAAACTATATATAGTTTCATATATAAACTATATACTATATAGCTAAGAATTTGGTTACAGTAGAAGTGAGATGACAAATGAAAAGAAACTTTCAGATAATTATAATAATAGATACGAACTTGATTTTCTTTTATATCGTGATCATAAAGCTAGTTAACAGACCAATGTTATTAATCCAGTATTACCAACTTAAATTCTTAAACGATATTGTAGTATTAGCAACTCAATTAAATAATATTTTATATTTTTTATTTATCACAATTTATTTAATATTTCGTAAACTATACTTCAACTTTACTTTTATTTCCAAAAGCCTATACCAGTATTATGATATATTGTAGATCCCTATATCATATTTTGTCACAGTGAAACTTGAATTTTCCATGCTTTGTACTATTGTGCAAAAAATTTAGGTTTCTTCTTGATCATTTCGATCTTAAGTTAACTTCCTTCAAACTTTTTCATTATCTTCAGTTGCATAGCCGAACAATTTCTTGAGCATATTGTATAGTATCATTTGCCGCGTCACTTCTGCTTCATATTTCATATAGTCATTTAGGCGATTTTTCTTATAAAGTCCGTCCAATAGATCAAACAATTTTATTTCCAAACTACGCATGTGCATATCAAGTTCTGGAGTATGTGTCCCAGAGAACAAAGCTTGCATATAAACGGTAGAGATCTTATTCAGAGACTCCTCTAATTCTTTTAAAATATCGTCGTCAGGATGTGTGTACTTTGCCGGACCTGCCAGTTTCGGAGACACTCGGTTCAATTGTAAATCATCAGAGCTCATTGCAAAATGAATGTAGACCAAACAAGTGATTAAAACTGGAAACTTAGACATTTTTTAAGTTATTTTCTTAGAAATTTCTTAGAAATACTATTTATTAAATTATATGATTTTTTTAATTAAGTATTTATAATTTTGTCTTATAATCTTTTGTCTTAAAGTCTTTTGACTTTTAATAAAAACGCCTGTCGATACTTTAAACACTGCGTTACTTGCACTTGATTTTATTTTCAACCTAAATATGAACAGTCTGCGATACATTTCGAAACTTCATGGCTTTTATAGTAGACTCAGTTGCAATTTTACGCAACTCAATACAATGCGCGATAACAATAATGCAAAGGCTTATCAGGCGGGTATAGCTGAATATGTGGCAAGGTTATTTCCGTATATACTGACGAGTAAGTAATTATTTTGTATATATAAATCGTAACAAGAAGCAATAATTCACTTCCGAATTTTGTATGAGCCAACTAGACAGGGTGTTTAAATAGCACATTCGGAATAACTGAATAATCTGGACATACCGCAAGAATTATACAAATAATTATTTATATATTTTCGATATAGAATAGCCTAATATAATATGGAAATGCACGCAATTTGGCCCCTCTAAAATAACAAAATAACGATCTTGTTAATATGCTGCAATTATTAGCATGGATCTTATGGTGGGATAGTGACGAGTTACTTTCGGTTGTGTAACCACATCAATTCTCTTCGAGAAGTCTTACCACTGCTTGTACAAAGTTGGTTTAATATGTTATGGACTTAATTTCTAAAGACTTTCACTAAATTGTGAAATCTTCCCTTTTAGAGATTCTTAGCCTTTATTAAACGTTCGAAATACCTTTAAACTCTACGAGATTTGCACGATGACACGTTTGATCATCAGAGACCTTAATGAATCTCTAGTATAGCTGTGATAACCTAGTCAAAATTATAAAACGTTTTATTATTGACGTTGACTGTTTTTGTCGATTATAATGCTTCTTATCACGAAAAGAACCAGAATGGTTCGAACAGTAATTAAGAAACAACAACAAAAATTCGATTAATTTATTGAAGTTTGGCTGACCATACTACGCTGTTTCGAGTATTGACAAGTACTCATTATCAGTGATCTAAGGAAATATTAAAGTGGTCATAATTAAAAATTAGAAGATCCTTAAATAACAAAGAGGTACATATATTTTAAAAATGTCATTGATCACATTGAACAAGCTTTCGTGATTAAAAAATGTTTTTACTCGGGGAACTACAACTTTTAATAAAAACTACTGTGCAAGGAAGTGTATTCCATAAATAATAACAGTGCAGTTTTTTATCCACTATATAAATATTTTAATGTGTATTATTATTATCATTATTATTAAATAACATTTATTTATATCCAATTTATTTGTGAATACAGTTATATTTTTTAAATTTAAAAATAAATTGCGTTATTATTATTGTTAGAAGAAACAATGATGAATCATGACCTCTGAAATCTACTGACTTATTTTAACCTAAGCTAAACTAGGCTTATTAGTGACAATTGGTGCTAGAACGGGCCATTAGTTGAGGACAGTAGTATCGTTTAATACTTCTTAGCTTAAGACTGCAGACTTCTTTCGAGCAAATAAGAGAAGATAACCTTTTCGCTGAATTTTACAGAGTATGAGTATGTCCCCGAGTCTTTTAACCCATGTTTAAATTATAGTAGTTAACAGAAGAATGACAAACTATGAAGCTAGTTATTAATCAAAGAACATATATGTATCTTTAAATTGAGAAAATTAGCAGCATTTTTATAATCAACCGGAATAAACTGCTTGGATGATCTTAGGACTTTAATTATTATGGGAAATATGTGTACGGAATTTACATCATAACCCCGTTGTTACATTACGACACTTCAGAAATTTATATGTTTAAGAATGTCTTTCAGTTGTAATATTAATGTATCAACTAACCCATTTTTTTTGAGTTTATACCTTTTCTACATACTGATATTATATTCGATTTTAGATTATTACTTCGTATTAATTTTAATATTCATTTTACTTCCGTTCTTCATGTGCAGGTAGCCTGTTAATTTAAAAATCAATTCCGTAGATCCGTTTACTCCTTCACTCCTTTCCCTTTCCCATTCCCATAAGGTGTCGTTATAATTAGTTCCTTTCCTAAGTAAAACATCACATCTGTGACTGCGTGTGTCAGACGTTCGCGCTACGCGATGCTTCCTTATTTAGTCATATCCCTTATCCTTCACTCTCGCTACCAGTTACTCGAAATCGTCCTGCCATACAAAATTCTTCTTCCCACGCAAAATGAAAATATTAATATTTATTTACATACACAATAAAATACCACAATATCCATTTCCTTTTCGAATTCGCTTATCCTTTTGTGTGTGAGTATATCCTTCAGACAGCGTTTTTTTTAACCATACGTTATCGTGAATATTTAAAAATAGAGTTCCACTTGTTCGCTTCAAATTCAATAAAAAATTCCCACACATTCTTCGAAATCCCTATCCCATGTTGTTGTTTTATTTGGTATTCTTTTATATCCATTGTTGTTGTTTGTGTTGCACTTGTTCTGCGTGATCCTTGTGTGGATCTTTCCTTTCATTATTTTTGCTTTAAGTTCACTAGGATACTTTTTACTTAACGTTTTCGTTGTTGTAGTTGTAGTTGTTGTTGTTTTTGTTGTTGTTGTTGTTGTGTTCTACACTATTGCCGTCATTATTGATTTTGATACGGTTTATCGCTTATTTGGCGTTTCCAATTCCTTTTCATTATTCTATCTAAAGGATTTCATTTGTGTTGCTTCTGATAGTTCTCAGGATATGCGCGTAGCTGTGATTTTTTATGTGAATGGACTTAATTGTCTTAATGAAACAAGTGCATGGCTTGTTTTTTGTCTGTGGGAGAATTTTTGTTAACGGTATATTTTAAAGATGTCCTTTTTGAGGCTGTGTTCTTGAGAAATATTATTAGATACATTAGTTATTATTATATTGACAAAAATAAGTTCTTGTTTTGTGGTTTATCGAAAATTTATTGTAACTTACAGTTATAAAAAATTTTGAGAATTTCTTAGAAATGAAAACTAACTAAGTCATTCTTGAAATATAATGGATTTTAATGGATATTAAAAATGTTCAGGTATTAGATTACTACTTTATTTTTGGTATTATTGGTAGAAACGAAGGTAACAAGAAAGATATCTGAAAGAATATATACACGTCAAGTTTTGATGGACACTCTGCGAGGGTCACAGTGACAAGCCTATAATAGAATTGGTTAGAATTGACCATATGATAAGAATGAAGGATAAAGCTGTAAGCTAAAGTATATTTTAATAAAAGACAACCGAGAAAATAGTGGGTTCATTTCAAATTTTTAAGTAGTTGGATAGTGTTTCTAGGCAGATCTAAAAAAACATTTTATAATTTATTGAATTGTAGTTATTACAGGATCAAGACAAATGCATTATAACCATCCAAAAAATAATTTGATAGTATGGTGTGATGATATTAGTAACGCTTATTTCAAAAAGTTCGATGATCTAATTATGTTCGATAATCAAATTATGTTTTTCTACAGATCGTGAAATATACTATATATTGCATAAAATTAAAATGCTTAACTTAAATGCTTAAAATTCATTAAAATATTGTAAATTTGAAAAAATTTCCAAATTTCTAACTTCAACATAATTTTTCATAAAATTTACAAAATATATGTGTAGTTCTTGTAAATTCCGTATTGTATTTTTTGTAGCCTTAGAAACCTTGAAAAAAATTTACAGTTCAGCAAGCTTTTATTCCGAACAGTCAAGTTACGATGTGAGTTACAAGTGGTCGTTAGTTGTTGGTAAAGAGTGGCTCCAAGACATAACCCCGGCTGCTCTTGGCATTCCTAATCTTTAAAACCAAAATTTATGTTTCATCTGAACATTTAATACTCATCAACCACTGCAATTCAAAAAAAAAAAAATAAATTCGAGTTTATTATTATAATAAATTGCAAATTTGCTTTGCGATCCCAAATAAATAAATTCCCACAACAAAATTTCTTCCAAAAAGTCTCACGCTGTTAAAAAAAATTCTCCCACACAAGTGGAAATATATACCAGCAAGGAAGCAAACAAAATCCTTTTCTATACAACAATCAAATATATTCAAATCGACGTACCTGTTCAGTGTTGAAAAGATACGAATGCATTATTTGAGATATGTGATTTAAAATAAATAGACCTTATGCAATCACTCAATCTTACTCATACTTACTCATACTCATGTTAAACTCTTGAATGGATATTGATTTATTAGGCCGAAGTGAAGATGTGGATCAGTATTTTACGAACCAAATTATTGAAATTTGTTTTAAATTATAAAAGTTAAAATTATATACCTAACAAATTTAATTATTATTTTTTGAGTTTTACTTTCAAATACTACGAGTAATATGAGTTAGAACTTGATTTTTTTTTTCAATGATAACTGTTATAGTCCCTGATTTTAATACCACGAACAAATATGAATGGCTTAACTATTCATATCCCATAAATATGAGAAATTGATGAAATGAATCCTTGATTCACCTTTAACAGGTTGTTAAAGACAATATTAGAAATGCGAGTGCAATTCAAACTCACTGGAATTTAGTTCCAGAAATGCGAGGCCTGCAAAAACGATATGGACTTACTGAAGTAACTTAAAGACCAAAAACGAACTTATTAAACCATGAATTGAAATCTTCAATTTCAGTACATGTTCTTTTTGCTCCTTACATTCACATTAATTAATACCAAAACTCAATCCTTGTATTTCTACTACTTTTCGCATCTTTTTCGAGTATGTATACACATTCAGAACCACAAAAGTAAAATTTTGTGCTTCTGAATATATTAATATAAAAATATCGTTATATATTAAGAACATTCTAAAATGAATATGACAGATTGCGATACTTAAATTTAAAAAGAGGGAAATCCTAAAAATAATATACGCATGACACAGATAACCCTTCATTTTCCTTTCTTAAAGAAATTCTAAATATACTTCTCAAATTGGTATTAAATTGGTTCTTAAATTGGTATAAAAATTAGAAAGATGAGAATGTGTATTTTTCATATTTTTTAAATAAAAGAAATCAAAACGGAAACATCTGTAGTAGTTTTTGATTTCCAATTTATTACCTACAAATGAAGAATCCTTGAAGATTCTAATTGAGTTTAAATGATTATCATGTTATTTTTTTTGAGAAATCAAACAATTTTTCAAACGACAACAGTTACACACTTACGAAAAGGGCTGTCTGCGGAAGTGGCATATTATTTCCGTTTATACTTTTCCTTTTTTCTGGATGATACGCTGAACATCAGTTTTCACGCAATATGGTTGCATTTGGTGTGGCGTCATATGTGCGTATCCTGCTAAGCGTGAACCCAAGGCACAGAGATTTTCCTTTCAATTGGTCAGCAATTTTAACTGTAAAGGAGTGAAAGTTTTTTCAACCAAATGGTTTTTTCATTTTTTAGTTAAATAGAAAACATTTGGGCGTGGTGTGAAAACTGATTTTTTCTTAATCTTCCTTAATTTTAATTTATTTTTAAATGTCTGTTATTGATTTATGAGAAAAGTTTGATTTTATTTTTTTTATTACAGGAACGTATATTTACTTTTATTATGCATTATGTAGTATTATTATTATCTTCATATTTTGAAAATATTGGAAAACATTATAATCCACCTCGAAAAATCATACCTAAAAGTAAGTTGTGAATATTAGAAATCTTACTTGCCCTCTAGAATTTTTCGTGTTTTTCTAACAACTCCCAGACTCAATGAAAATGGGTCAAAAAAAGAAGAAGAAAGGAATATTAGACTAGATTATGCTGGCAGACCAAAAAGGCCACGCAGAGACCATTAAGGTCCATTGCGATACCAGATCAGTGGTTTATTTTAGTGATTGTGTGCATCACTTAGGATGTTTTATTAGCGAATTTTATTAGGATTTCAACAGAAACCTCAGGTATGTGCTCAAATTCTCGAGAGAGCCGGGCAATTATACAGCAAATGCTATAGAGTTTCCTTTGCATTCGGTTCGTTGCATTTCCTACAAGCATCGCTGTTAATTAGGTTTAGTTTGTGGGTATGTGATGCGACCAGACAGTGACCTATCAATAAAGGAATATTAAGTACTATTTTAAATTGGGTTAAAGGAGCACAAAAACTCACTGAATGCTAAAAAAAGTATATGGGAACGTGTGCGTAATTTCATCCTGAGATCTGGCTTGTTAACGAGGTATCACCTTTTGAGTTCCACACCATTGACTGTTGCTTTATTGTAGAACCAACCTTCCATTTTCATATTTTTAAATTTCGCTCAATGATATGAGCGAAAAGAACATGATTTCCATAATTCGCAAAACAATTAGTCTTCAGTCAAATAAATAAAAATCGAATATATAAAATATATATTAAAAAGATTTATTCATTTACAATAGAATTTATATTAACTAAAATTTATGACATTTCTTTTATTACATTTTCATTGTTTTATGATATTAAGTTTATTACAAATTTTTCAAATATTTCTTTTTTCATTAATTAAAGAAAATTATATATATAATTATACACAACATAAATTATTTTTAGTTTTAACATAAAGGAATAAATAAAATAATTATAAATTTAATCTTATATATTTAATAAAATGCTGTTATTATTTCATAATTACAGGAGAAATAGATTGGAAAACAATATAAAATGTAACAGTTCTATTATAATTTGTACAAATAAATCAATTACTGAATATGAAAAATAATAATTAAATTTAATAGTTATTAAACTGTGATTATAGATTCAAAACAATTTATTAAATATTGTTAATAGTTGGTATGTCTTATCAAAAATTTGAAACAACATTTTTGTAAATTTAAAAAAACTAATTTTCTACTAATTATAATTGTAATTATTTTATGCATAAACAATTCATTAAACTTTTTACTAACAATGTTGTGCGTTTAATTTAGTACATAGAGAAAATGAAGTAGCTGGAAAGACAGACTCCCTTTATTCAGTGAATCCTATTTTTAAATTTTATTATTTCAAAATAATTCAAGATAAATTCACCAGACAATCTACCTAAGTCTACCTAAGATGATGTTGGAAAACTTCCAAAACTAACAAAGTAGTCGGAGAAAATAGGTGGCTAACTTATGTTCCATATCCAATATTGTCACAGCATTTGTCTATCATTCATTTGGTGTAATTTTCTTGCATAAATGTCCTGTAAGCACTTTTCATATTAGATATAAAAACAAAAAAAACCATAAGAGATGACTATTTTGAAGAGAGTTCCATTGAACAAATATTATATTTAAAATTTGATATTTATATTTAACTACTTTTAACTAAGGTGCAAAAATTTTAAATCTACATTAAATCTATAATATTTACAAAATATTTGTTACATATAATGCACATAAAACTAACAAGATTTATTATTAATTTAATAGTAACAAACTTTATATACTCGTATATGTATAAGTTACAATTTACAAATGCAAGACTCATAAGATTTATAATATTTTTAAGTTGTATTAATAATTTATTTTCATAAAAGAGCTACCAAACACTGCAAACAATTTGAGTATTAAAAATATTGCTTACAGATAACGGAATTGCATCTATAAGGAGTGAAGTCAACACTCCTGTACTACTATTACTTTCAGTCCATTTGAAACAGCGTCTGGTAGATGCCCAAATTTTCGACACAGATATATATTTGTTTATTGATTACTTATAAACAAAATTTACATACAATATACTAAAATAGTATAAAAAAACAGAATAAATTCGTTACGTTAGCTGCAAGGGATTACGATCTTAAATATTTAAATTAAAATCTGCCGAACTAAAACATTACATTGTCGCATCACTGCCAGAACAGATCATATTTATAGTTGCATTTATCTTTTTATCCTAAATATAATAATATGTAGATACCCTTAAACTATGTCCTTAAATTATTCGCATTAAAAACAAAATTTTATATTGCTACACTATCAGTCCTTTACAGTAATTTTTATGTTAAAAGATTGAAACTTACTCATCTAGTTTTGTTTCTTTTATATATTAATACCTTCCGATCAAAAAAGAACGAGAGGCCTATTTTTGAATTCCCGCGCTTATCCAATCGGTAAATTTTTTTTATTTTCACGCTGGCAACACTAGTATACGCATTCTGTCAAAGTTGAACGCATATCGTTCAACAACGTGCGTGCATCAAATTTTGTGTTGCAAAAGAATTCAAGTGTGATTTGTGTGTGTCGAAACCACGAGTATACGAATGGTTTAAAAGGTTCAAAGAGGGTCGTACAAGCTTGGACCATGATGATATCCCTGGCCGTTCAACAACTTCTGTTACTGAAGAAAACATTGAATCGGCGAAGCAGATCGTGTTAGAAAATTGTTGTGAACCGATTAGAGAAATTGCAGTGTTGTTGGGCATCTCATATGGATCGGCCGAAAAGTTTTTTTTTGATCACAAGGTATATGTATATATAAACAATAAATATGGGGTATTCTGTATCTTTGTGTGCCTTTGTGTTTATGTATAGTTGTGTGCGTTTTTATGTAGTATGTTTAACAAATCTCATTTGTTGTTAATCATCAAAGAATATCTGGGGTAATGGTGTCATCGTGAGAGTGCTGCAGCAGACCTTTGCGTTCATCAGGCGCTGTGCTTAAGGGCTCTGACACCGTTTGCTCAACTATTGCATCAGCATACATAGATTCATAAACAGGATTCGCAAAATTCCCCTACAATGTTGCATTTGAATAGTTTCAATATAATAATTAGATTATAATATTTCAATATTTACCTTATCCTCATCATGTGTGAAAGAAGGCGCCTCGTCAACATCACCGCGATACATTGGGTTGGTAAGCATAATTTCCACATTATCGGTAAGTCGGGCATGGGAAAATGGTTGCGATATGCGATGTTTTCTATATAGTATTAAAGATATTTTTAAGAATCCAAATTTGCTGAAAACTTTAGTTTTAAAACACTTACTTCAAGAAGTATAAAGCACCACCAAAAATTCCCAACACTAATATAGCTACAGCCATAATAATAGCTAGTATGGATACTACGTTTGATGTACGTGTCTGCTCACTACTAATAGCGTCAGCACTGTCCGACACACATGGCATAATTCTCCCATTCAAACAACTACGATAAAAGTTACAAAATTGATCAAATTTATATACAAAAAATAGATCTATTGTAGTTTTTAATGGAACTGTGCTCAATTAATCGTCTTCGAAAAAACCAGTTATTGTAATTAAAAATCACAAATGCCCTGTATACTTTTGCATATGAACGCTTTCGAATTTAAATAAATAAAATATTTTTAATATGAAATAAATAAAATGAATTAAAGAAATAAACAAGTGAATCATTGAGAATGTTCCATTAGACAACATAAAATAAATAGCAATAATAAATTTGTACTGGCAAAACTGAAACTTATTTTTCATTTTCCAAATTGTAGTAATCAACACCTAATGTTCTCACCTGCACTCGTTAATTGAGCTTCCTATGCGACAAACGCCGCATTCACCAACGCAACTTGGTGGTATATTGCAAGTACTGCCCTCCCATTCGCCAATACACGTACAGTGTGGTACGGTATAAGCATCTAATAGACACACGCCGCCATTATCACAGTAATCTATACAGGGATTATCTTCTGTAACTAGCCGCTAAAAGGAAATTTAGTATTTAAATAAAATAAATTTATTAGACATAAAAGCAAAATTACTAACCTCACAAAACTCGCCATTCCACTGGTCTGTGCAGTTGCACATCGCTACGCCTTTAATTACATGACAGGTACCACTATTTTGACATATAATACCGGTACATGGATTGCGAGATGGTATTTCTGATTCATCGCAAACTGTCAAATAAGTGTTTAATTACAATCATATATAATTTTCCTAATATATTTTTTATATTTACATTTGGGTGGACTAGAAGTCTTGCATAGATCAGTTTCGCAACGTTCGCCCACAAATCGTTCCGAACAAGTACATACTAAACGTTGTCCACGATCGACACAAGTACCATTGTTGTGACAATAATTTCGGCAAGAGTCTGATTCACATCGTTCGCCGTAAAAGCCTGATGGGCATAGACATTGCGGACCGCCTTTAGTACCAATACTGCAGGTGCCTTGATTCTTACAAAAATCATTGCAGACATTAACTTCGCAGCGTTTACCGGTAAATCTAAAAGTAGTAAAAACTGTATTAATAACCACGCTAACAATAACTTAATTAATAAGCAGTACTAACCCATCTGGGCACTCGCACTGCGTTGTTCCAGTTAATGTTTCACGACATATACCACCGTTTGCACATGTAAGATTAACGCAATGTTCGCACTGTTCGCCAAAATACATTTCGGGGCAAGTACACTTCATGCCATCCTCAGTTATCAAACAGGAGCCACCATTATGGCAACGACTTTGACATTCGGGCACGGATGTTTCACAACGTGCGCCTGACCAACCATGAGTGCAGCTGCATTTTAATGCTGGCTGTTCTAATGAACCCGGCATTTGTGGAGCCACTGTGCAAAGCCCATAATTTAAACAATAGCCTGAGCACCTATAATGCTCACAAAATTCGCCTTCGAACTGTGGCTGACATATGCATTTAGGCACATGGTTTATTAATTTGCAAGTTCCCAAATTACATTTAAGTGGACAATAGTCAGGTATTTCTGCGTGCGCTTTGCATTCACCACCAAACATAACAAGATCATCTGGACACTTACAAGAATACCCTACTGCAGATTCAGATGACAAAATGCAAAGCGCGCGTTTCGATTTACAAGGTTCTTTGTTGCAAGGATTAGTAACTAAATTATATAAAATAATAAAAACAATGAAATTTTATATAAATTTTCCAATATTGCAACTGACCATTTCGATTTTGTTTAAGCGGATGTAATATTCCAATATCCGATGAACGGTAGCCCTTAAGCAGATATGTGCCATTTTCGTTTCCAAACTTATTCATTTTAATAATACTTTGGTCGTACAGTTTAATATACAGATAATCCTCAAACACATCGATTTTTTGTGGTTTTTCTATAATTTAATATAAAGAATAAATAAAAAATAAAAATATTTAATATAAAATTATTTGTATCCTTACCTTTATTTGCAAACCTTCGTACTACATTTCGATCTTTACCATTCAAACGACATGTTTCGATGGTACCTTTTCGATAATCAGCCCAATAAAGTCTACCAGTTGGATAATCAATAGATAAACTTATTGGCCAGCCAACGTCGCTTTCTACTAAACTCTTTTTATTGCTGCCGTCTAAAGAAGCCACTAAAATTCCATTTTCTAAAGTAGACCAAATCATAATACGTGACTCTGGTTCGAGTACTATATCTGTGGGATTCATTCCTGTCGACACCAACCACACATATTTCTTTCCATCAATGTCAGTGGCTAGAATTTGGTTGTGACGCGAATCTATTATATAAACCATTTGTGTAATCCAATCAACTGCTAGAGATTTTGGATCACTGAGAACGGGTATCTACAAATTTGAGATCAGTATATAAAACTAATTTTGCTAATAAATATATTTACATTAAACGCTGTTAGCTCCTTGAGGTCTCTACGTACACGTGTATTTGTATCTGATTGTGGTGTAGCTATTTTCATAGTATGTACTTTGCCGTGATGCGAATCAATCCAGAAGAGCAATGTATCCTTAGGACGTATCAGTATATCAAAAACATCAATTTTTAAGCTATCTGTTTGAAAGAAGCCTACAACTGAAGTCCCTTCCTGTTTTGCTGGTAAAATGAATCTGAATTCCTGTTCAGATGCAAGCAACAGAACTTGATCCGGACCTTTTAATAAATAAATTATATTATTTCATATATTTATTGCTTGATTTTCATATTTTACCTGAGGACAAGCAAGTGTCATTCTTTAGTGGACCTTTGTGATAACCATCAGTACATTTACAGTTATAATGGCCTGCTTTCTTTTCAATGCATATTTGAGAACAAGTACCGAAACCACAGACTGGTGGTTGACAATTCATTTCATCAGAACCATCAATACAATTATATTGGCCGTCACAACGGAATATTTTTGAAATGCAATCCTCATTCTCGCATTGAAATTGGTCATGTCGGCACTTTGGCAAAGCTGCACAAACTTCATCGGATTCATCTTCATTATTACCACAATCGTTAACTCCATCACATAAGGCAGATTTACGTATACACTTCAGATTTGTGCATCTGTAAGGAAGGTAATTAAAAGGAAAAGGAAATAGTTTATAAAATGTTTGTTGTTGATATAGCTGGCGACATACTTAAAAGCATTTGCATGACAATGTACATGTGCGCATGTTTCCAAATTTTCGTCACTACCGTCAGTGCAATCATCCCAACCATCGCATTTCCAACGAAGCATAATACATTTTCCATTAGCGCATGTAA